TGACGACCCTTGCATCATGCAGAGTGGTTCCTGCCTGTGTGTGTGGCTGGGGACAGCCTGGCTTACTGGAAAATCGCCCAGAAAACAAAAGAGAATTTTGCAAGTTGATTCCTAGAGGATGTAGGCTGGAAGAGTGTGTGCATGGGCTGGTCCTGATTGCCATGGTGCTTTGCCTGTTCTGTTGTTGGGGATGTATCCCCCAAACTCCACCTCCTGATCGCCCTGGTTCTCATTTGTTCTTTGTCTCCCTCTCACTCCCCCTGCCCCAAGTCCTGCTGTTCGCAGCTGCGCCCCTCCAGGCCTGTTGCTCTTTTCAAATTTTCACTGCAGTTAATCCACCACCCAACCCCCCCATCAATGGCAGCTGTACGACAGGAAAGAATTACGTGTGGTGTGAGCCTCTTAGACCCCTGAAAAAAATGCAGCCGCCTCGCTCGCTCTGCGCTCTCTGTCCTGACTTTGGAATGTCTATTGATTCAAATAATATTTGCAGTTATATGAAATAATTGAAAAGTTTTTTTTTTTTTTTGAGACGGGAGTTCTCTCTGACCCAGGCTGGTGCAGTGGCGCGATCTCGGCCACTGCAAGCTCGCCTCCTGGGTTCACGGCCATTATCCGCCTCAGCCTCCGAGACTGGCTGCAGGCGCCCGCCCAACGCCCCGGGGGGTTTAATTTTTTTTGTATTTTTAGTAGAGGATTGGGTTTGCCCTTTAGCCCAGGATGTCGATCCTGACCTTGTGGATCGCGCCACTTTTGGCCCCAAATTCTGATTACAGGCGTGAGCGCACGCGCCCGCGCTCTTTTTTTTTTTGAACGTCTCGCTCTTTCGCCCAGGCTGAGAGTGCATGGCGGATCTCAGCATCACTGCAAGCTCGCTCTGGTTTACGCCATTTTCCTGCCTCAGGCTCGCCGAGTGCTCGGACGAGGCGCCGCGCTCACCCGGCTACGTTGTTTTTGTATTTTCTTTAGATGTAAGGATGGATCTCACCGGTGGTTAGGCTCAAGATGGTCGTCGATCTGCTGACCTGTGATCTGCTGTCTCGCGCGCTCCCAGTGGGGTTACAGGCTTGAGCCGCGCGGCCGCTGGGCCCCGGCTCATTCTTTATGTATTTTGTAGTAGAGATAGGGTTTGACATTGTTTGGCCAGGCGGTTTCAAACTCGCTGGGCTCAAAACGATCTGCCTGCCTCGGCCTCCTAAAGTGCTGGGATTACAGGCATGAGCCACTGTGCCTGGCCGAAAGAATTTCTATTTCCAGTGGTTTGTTGCTAGCACACAGAAATAGATCCATCTTTTGTATCCTGCAACCATACTAAAATCTCATGTGTTCTCATAGCTTTTTTTTCCTTTTAGATTCTATCGGATTTTCTACATAGACAATAATGTGTGTGAGTCAGGACACTTTTACTTCTTCCTTTCCAATCTTGTTCCTCTTATTTCCTTTTCTTGCCTAATTGCACTGGGGACAATCTCCATACAATGTTGAGTAGGAGTGTGTGTGTACGTCCTCGCTTCGTTCTGAGCTTAGGGGAAAGTGTTTAGCCTTTCACCATTAAGGATGAACTGCAGTCTATTCCTAGAGATGTAGCGGCTGGAGGGAGGGGTCCTTGCATGGCTGGTCCTGGGATTGGGACCATCTGCTTTAGCCTGGTCTTGGGGGATGTATCCCCCAACCCTCCACCTCCTTGATCACTACGCTTCCCTGGCTTCCTCATTTGTCTCTCTTCTCCCTCTCCAACTCCCCCTGCCCCAGGTCCTGCTGTTCGCCAGGCTTCTGACCTCAGGGCCTTTGCTCCCTTTACAAAATTTCACTGGGCAGTTTAATCAACACCCACAGCCTCAACCCCTCCTGCAGGGTAGAGGACAGTCCCGGAGGGATTCCAGAACC